TTCCGACTTGATGCCACTATGACCCGACCCAATCAAACTTAATGTCCTTCTCGCTCTCTGTCCACGTAGGGACGGATGAGAACACGCCCCCGTTTTCGCTGCGGCCACTCTTTTGATCACTGAAGAAACCTTTAGCATGTAGGTGTGATTCGGCAAGCCTTTGTCCAGTTGGTATGATCGATCGCCTGTGCCGATTCAAGATTCCGGTTCCTGGATGGAAGGTCATGGTAACCTTTCTTAAGAGATTAGCACTAACCCGCGGCAATGTTTATACATCAGACACATGTCCGCATTAATATTATAGTTTATTCATGATCCTATAGTTGATACTTAGCAAACGTGACAATCGTTTTGAGGTTTAGTGACTTTTGACTTGTAGTGAGTTAGATTTCGCTTAATATTCATTCTCAGCTGAAATCCCTAAAAATTGTACGTTTGACAAACAAAGCATACGTTAAACAAAATCGGCTAAAGGTGGCTTCTTTGGGACAGCGCAGTATGTAGCTTCATTTTAAAAAATATATACCCTTATATGTTGTCCCCAATCTATTTCATACAAAATTCATTTTCTTGAATATACCCAGTATAAAACAATTCTGTATTGACCTATTTAAGTTACTTGCGTTATTTATAAGTAAATGTATCCATTTACTCTAGAGATTCATGTTCACTGTATATCGTGCTTATGCGATAAAATTGTAAAACGTGTACTTACGTTTCTGTGGAGATAAAACAGTAAAGCTTCTAGTACCGCAATTTTCACTACTATTTTTCTGACACTATTTACTAGTTAAAAACTGAAAACGTTGTAGATTAATATCACATAGTTTATTAACATTCTTTGTGTACTATTGTTTTGCTGCATCTTACAATGAACTTATTGTACTATTGGTTTTTCGGTATCTGGCAATTTTGCACTATTGTTTTGCGGTATTGGCAATGAAGATTCTTTTTGTGCTATTGTTCTGCAGCATCTTATATGAACATACTTTTGAACTATTGCATAAAATATCTTTTGGATTTAAATAAAAAATGTTTGCTACACGTTATACAGCGCATATGTAAAACATGTTTACTTCATAAGAAAAGTTCGCAACACATGTTATACAATGCATATGTAAAACATGCTTGGTTCACATCGAAAATATAAAAAGCATGTTTGTGTAAGTGATATCAAGTTGACGTAATTAATGGTTTTGCATTTGTATCTGATTTACTTATACTTGATGTATAATTTACATGTCACATGCCCGTGTTGAGCATGTACGGGAACCTTTACATTTATGGGTCGCATATGCCCGATGCTTGCATTACATATGTAACATAGCTGTGCTACTTTTGTATATTAATTGATCCCAGCCAACTGACACTATAATAACAATAGGCTTGGCAGGAGGATAGGAAATGAAATTTATGGAATCATTAGTCTTCTATAACTTAATCTCAAAGCTTCCTTTCATTTCATTTGAATATAACGACGGAAACAGCGGTAGTTTTTAACAATCGGGTGACTTTTAATAAACATCCAAAATTTTCTATTCAAATTTACATAGACATATGTCCATGAGTCTTTAACGAAAATTTAAATTTATTTCAATCTTTATTGAATATTCATTATGTATTACTTAAAAATGTGCGCTGGAAATCGGTCCATTATTCCCGAAGAACACGAATAGCTGTATTAGACATGACGTTAACGTGATAATAAGACCAAACATATATCTATGAATACTAAAGCGTTATGGGTTACTATCGGTAGTCTGACTTGATTTTAACCACAAGACATCACATTCGGTGCCTTTGATAAAATACACGAAAGAGAGGTTGCCAGTATTATCTTTGACGTATAGTAATAGTAATTGTTTCTTGTTTATTTAAGCATTCGCAGTTGCCAAATCTTCGAGATTTAGCTATTTTGTTTTCAGCTCTCCAGCAACTAGAGAAAGTGGTCTGTGTTGGCTTGTCAGTCGCGTTTAACTGCATTTAGCATAGATCCTGATCTACCGTCGCATAATTTGCTGGCAGATCAAAGTTTGTGTTATTTGTTCTACAGATTGCTCCTAACAAACTGCAGAGACCTAGATATGCCGGCACATTATGGCTTCTTCAGTTTGCAATAGAAATGGACTCAAAACCGAGTACATACGGTATTTTCCTAATGCTCACTGCGTTAATACGACACGTTAACCCGATGCATTATATGATTTTCTTTGTAGTAAATTTAAGCCACAGTAATTGTATACACTTAATTGTGCGACAGCTAACAAATTTTGCGTTATCTTAATTATTTGTTTGTTGTTTGAAACCGATCTGTAAACGAATTTCTCTTCAGTAACACTAATAAACTACAAAGGCACGAAAGAAAAATGAAACTTCATTGTTGTAGAACACAAATTGAAAGGAATATAACTAGTCTATTCATGTCATAACAAACGAAGTCTGGTATTGTCCACTATATTCTTAAAAGCTTGGATCAATCTTGTCTTTTCGAAACTGGCTTTTTGTGCTGGAGATGACCCAGTAACAAGTGTTTCTTGCAAAAATTAATCCATACAGGAACATAGCTCTTGACCTCAAAAGAAAGAAATCGCTGCTGTGGAAACAATAAGGTAATTTACGTGACCGATGTGAAACTTGTACCTGTTTTCTGTGAACTGACCTCAGATAATAAAAGAATCGTCAATCCAGCATAACGTTTGACCTCAGGACAAGGTGTACAAGGAGAATGATATATAACAATAACAGTGAGAGTAAGGATATTGGTATGTAGTATCACAACACTGAGATCAAGGATATTGGCACATAACATCAAACTTTTGAGATACATGACATTATAACACTGCGATAGAGTATAAAGGTACATAATATCATGCCAACAAAATAAAGGAGAAGCAAACATAACATCATAACAGCTAGATAGAGAAGGACACATAACATCGTAATAGTGAGATAAATGATGACACATAAAACCATAATAGTGAGATCAAGGATAATGGCACATAACATCAATCTAGTGAGATAAAGAATGAATAACACATAACATCAAAAACAATAAGATAAATGACAAGAACGCACAACATCATAATGAGATAAATAATAATTTCACATAACATCATAAATGAAATATAGGATGACATGTCACACCATAACAGTGAAATAAAGGTTAATGGCACATAATTATGAGACAAAGGAGTAAGACACATAATATAAACAGTAAGATAAATGAAAAGGATGCATCACATCATAACAGTGATATAAAGGATAATGACACATAACATCACACCAGTGAGATTAAAAATAATTGCACCTAACTTCATAAAAGTGAGAGAAATGAGAATGACAGATAACATCATAACAAATAGGCAAAGGAAAATGACACATAACATAATAACAATGAGATAAACGAGTACACATATCACCGCAACAGTGCGATAAAGGATAATGGCATATAACATCATACCAGTGAGATACAATATAATGGCACATACAATCATAGCAGTGTGAAAAATGAGAAGGATGCATAACATCATAACAGTGAGATAAAAGATACTGGCACACATCATAACATGGAGATAAAGGATAAAGGCACATAATATCATAACAGTGAAATAAAGGAGGACACATAGATTATAAAGAGTGAGATATGAGAAGGACACATAAAACCATAATAGCGAGATAAAAGAATGGCACGTAGCATCATAATAGTGAGATAAAGAAGGGCACATAACATCATAAACAGTGCGATATAGGATAGTGGCACTAACTTCATAAACAGTGAGATAAAGGAGACGGACACATAACATGATAACAGTGAGATACAGGAGACAAACATATAACTTCATAAAAGTGAGATGAATGAGAAGGACACATAACATCATAACAGTGAGATAAATGAGAAGGATGCATAACATCATAACTGTGAGATACAGGAAAATGGCACATAACATCTTAACACAGATAAATAATAATGGCACATAATATTATAACGGTGATATAAAATAGAAGGACACATAACTCCATAACAGCGAGATAAAGTGAAAGATTCATACCATCCAAACAGTAAGTAAAATGAGAAAGATATATAACATCGTAAAATGAGTTGATGGAGATCTGCTTTTCTTGGTTTTGTTTTGGTGTTTTCAACGGCACAGTCTGGTGTTTTCAACGGCACAGTCTGGTGTGGTGGTTTTAACGGCACATGTAACACATTAGTGAGTCTATAATACAGAGCAAATCCGCACGGTGTCGTTCTCAACCACACACTGAGAAAAAGGAGGATATATAACATCATAATATTGAATTAAAGGAAAAGATATATGCAAAACAAGTAAACGTAACAAAGCTGTATGCGCGTAACCTTTAATAGGAGCAGATCAAATGGAATTCATGCAGTCAGTTAAATTTACGTAAGATGTAAGTGGAGGCTCGCTTATGCTACAAATTCTGTTCATGCAGACTCTGGTATTTAACGTAGGCCCGAGACGAGTCCATGTTGTCGTAAGAGGCGAGTAATGGAAATACGAGCTTTGATTGCGCAGTGGTTGGCATTCCAAACTAGCAACTGAAATGGTGCGGGTTCTAATCCTACAATCGGCCGCGGTGATGTTTCCATGGGCTTGGCACATAACTATAATTGCCTGACACTAAATAAACTACTTGTGTTGATGTGCCGTATAAGATCAGACACCAAATGAAACAAAAGATAGATGCGGAAACGGCAAACAAAAAACGAAAGTAATCGAATGATTTTCACCTAAAATTGTATTCTTTTCTCAAATATACAAAAAATTAAAAATTTCAAAATAAGTGTGTGTGTTCGTGATTTAGATTTTTAACGTAGCTTTAACCATTTTTAAATCATATCGCTACGATGTCTGCAACGTGACAGTTTACTGGGACATGGCATGATGTCCCACCCAGTCACATTATTATGACACTAAGCCAACCAGTCCTGACACTAACCTCCTAATGCTGAGCGCCATTTTTTAAAGTCTTTGGTATGATTCGACTCGGGTTCGAACTCACGACCTCCCGCATCCGAGGCGGACTCTAACCACTAGGCTACCGGATCGGTTTTCAGATAAGAAGAGATTATGAAATTAATTGATTTTATGTTAAATTTTCGCATACAAAGAAAGAATATATTACGGTGATGAAAATTTGTTCATTTTTCCCTAACTATATGCCTGGTCATATTGGACAGGGCATGCGTCTGACAACTATATTTCACTATGGTTATGACTGGTAAATAGTTATGAGCTAAATACTTAATGGTAGCAGATCTGGACTTTTACTGCATCGTCATGACAAGACCACACATAATGGGTCTTTCATATAACTAGAAGAGATGCTATCAATTACTCTGCCCCATCATCTGATGTGGTCTTTTTATTTCTGTTTGTTTTTTGTTTTTTTGTTTTTTTTGTTTTTGTTTTTTTGTTTTTTTTTTGTTTGTATGCAAGCAAGCTAGCTTACCAGCCAAATTGCTGGTTTTCAAGCAAGTTAACGCAGTTGTTAATTGTTATAAATACTACAACATTTTTGTACGTTCAGACAATCAGTGTGAGTACGTAATTCTCACTTACTTTTAAAGATATGCTCAGATTTTCATTTCGTAGTTTATTCGGTCTTCACTCAAAGTAGTATGTCTGCTTTATTAGCAGAGAAACACTGGGTTTTGAAAGTCTGAACTTGTTTGTGTATGGTTCTAAATGCATACAGTACTATTTTCTTATTTCTTAATATTTTTCGCTTAAAATTAAATGTAGTGTGTCAAAGAAACTCAAAGTTGATTCATTTTAGTTTAAATATATTTTATTTCATAAATTTGTAATTAAAGATTGCAAGAGCTACAATATAGAAAGTAAAGGATAAGAACAAAAGTCAATGGCTTTTAACGTTCTTCTTGTACGATATAAAAAATTTAAATATACAGTATACGAAATAATAAATATATGGCGAACGATCTTAAGTTTCAATGACAAAATACTAAAACATTTACGAGTGATGAGTCCCTTGGTTTAAACATTAGCAATTAGCCAAGGTATTTAAAGCTAGAGGAGGAACACCGATGGAGAAAGTGAAAGACGAAGATAATAAAAAAAAAGAAGTTAAAAAGAGAAATTGTCAAGAAAGTGTTTCAAACATTGTGTACAAAGTTCATAAAATAGGGATAAAAGAAAGGCAAAGGGCAAGAATAAATAACTAAATAAATTAAAAGGAACAAAAAGTAACATTAATAATGAACAGTGCTTCATTCTAAAGCGATTCGTTGCGGAGGCAATTCTGGATAATTCGAATCATAGAGGAAGTTGCATTTGCAGCTGTTCAAGACCAGCGTAAGCGCATGCGCATAGTAACGTGTTCTTAAGTAAATCTATTGACTATTCAATAGCATAGAAACATGAATCATAACTTAATACGGAAGCGTTGTATCACCGCAGAAGAAGGTATTTAAGAATAAATTACAATACGGAGTGGGATTAGAACATTTTGATTCGACATATTATTTCATTTTTACTAATTTTTCTTTTTAATAAACAAAATCTATTCCTTTGGAAGATGGTTTCATACTTTTATTATTTATTTCTCGATCTCAAAAATCCAGGTATTTTCAAAAGTAATCACCAATCAGACTTGAAGGTTATCTATTCACAGCGTAACAAACCTGAAACGTATAACCTCCAAACTCGAGCAATTAGACCAGACACGAAGCAACTTGGAAGCTACGCATTAAAGTGGATATCAGAGGTTTTAGTAAATCACCTAAATCGTACAGGAAGAAAAACGTTAGCGTGCCTGCTTTGCCAAGATAAAAGCTATCAGTGATTAAACATGCCGGAGGTATAAGAAAATTAGCACATAAGCATCAAACCAGGTGAGTCCAACACCTTGTGTTAATCGTTAGAGAAGTGGTTGTGGTCCATAGTCTTTCGTATATACTGACAGATTGCAAACACAAATACAAATTGTATTTTACCACTCTTGCATCAGCTTCATGCAGACATAACGTTTAAGACAAGGCTTGATGATCATATATTATAGTCGGCAACCGCTGCCATGAGATATTTTGTAATTGAAAAATCTAATTTTTTAATTCCTGTCCGGAAGAATGGCGAACTTGTAATATGGATAAAAAACAACAAAGTATTGATGTAAAAAGTGATCGTTAAATACTGTAACATTTTTTTTATCAATATGATACCGTTAAAGAGCTTATAGCAGTATCAGATAATATTTAAAAAATATAAAATCCATTTACACCAGTCGATATGCTTGTATTAAAAAGGTAAATTTATCAAAATGTACAGCTTCTTTTTGTAGGATAAATTCGAGAATGCTTTTTGGCAGGGCGATTTTTTATAGGTATTTCAGCGTTTCGCATACTTTGGCTAATTTCTTCGGCATTGCTAATAACAATTGCAAAAAAAAAAATAAATAACTTTGCCGTGTAAAAGACATTGCATGAAAAGAGTGTGCTTGGTGCTGATGAACAAAGTCTTGAGATAGGCTTCCTTGGCTTCCAATCGCACACCCTGTTAAAATTCTTCGCATTTTCTCATTTAGCGTTACTATACGCACACATTGAACCGCGGTAAGGCCAGTGCTAGAAAAATGGATGAGCGTACTGCTTGTAAGATAAACTCTATGAAGTAGCCCGCCTATGTAAGTTTCAAAGAACCTAAAATGCAGTTGTGTCAAATTCAGTTTTGAATCTACAAATACGTCATCCTTTGGGGTTGCATTTCCTCTTTAAGTCTGACTCCGAAATGCTTCTGCTTGCTGTACATAAAATTTTAGATAGAGACTTTATCATATGGGTCTAATTTAAGTCACAGGGTGGACACTGTTTAAACTTGTGTATCATGATATTGGCATTCGTTCGAGAAGATCGTGCAGACAATTAAACATTATCAATCAGACGAGACGTATACAGCCACTCAGACGGGAAATACATTTTAACTATCTTCAAATTATATGGTTCATATTTTATCGACGTGCTCAGACTACAATTCTGGAAAAAAATAAATGTTTAAATGACAGGTTTCTTGTCAATAAAAGTTTCTTCTTTTTTTATATCGTTACGCCTTCGCCTTGAAGTTGAAAGTCGGTAACATTATGGAGGTTGCACAACTCCGTAAACTTTGGAAATTTATACTGCAAAGGAATTTTTCTTCTTCACGGAGATTTATATGTGTAAAACAATTTTATTTCGTGAAGGAGACTGATATGTGTAAAAGAATGTTTCTTCACGAATGAAATGATGCGTAAAAGACTGTTTCGTCCTGAAAGAGATTGATATGTTTTGTAAAGGAATCCTTCTTCTTAAGGGAAGTCACGTGATGAAATTTGAGGGATCTCGTTCATCAAACTAGTGTTCCTTATGGGCTTATTCACAATGTCGTGTTAAAAGATATAAGCTCGTAATTAAAGGAAATGCAAAGGTCCACGCAATGTATTACAGATTAAATATAAGTCAGATTCATTTTCACGGATCACTGAAGGAAACATAAATTAAGGCCTTGCCAGCCATGAATTTTTGAAGCTGTCACAAGTACATTCGAACTAGCCTAAAGATGATATAATGGAGCAGGAGGTATAAAAATATTAATTACAGTAATTTATTTCATTAATTAATGCAGACTTCATGTAGAACACAGATTAGCAGATGAAAGGCGTTGTTTTCACGGGAAAATAAGCGAAGTATTTCCTCATTCCAAAACCTGTAGACAATTAATTTAGAGCTAATAATTAAATGTTACATGCAAACAACAGATAAACTGACCTTCAAATAGAAACTGTTTAATTAAATGTGACATTTGCTTTTGGCAATCATGCACGAAATATATCAGCAGCATTTCAGTTACATAATATGCATTCCTTGCACTGCGTTTATTCATTCTTCGGTTCATGCACAGTTGCGTCTGCTTTCGTAATTGCAATTTCCATGCAGTGATGAAAAGCAACTTTAGACGATATCAAAGCTTATCAAAACTGTTTAAACAAATAGTACTGCCTTTACTTTCACACATCTATTTTACCTATGAACAAAGAAGAACCATATAATTCGTTCTAGGATTTGAAGCCAGCTGGGTTTAATTGTTTTCCCCGCAAAATGCAACATTGTACCTTTCTGTCAAGTCCATTAGAGTTATCTTGTTTCCTCTCAAATTTCCGTTTGATAGGTCCGTTGCCTAGATATGCAACCTGTCAGTTAGGACCATGTGTTCTATACAAGCGTAAAACCAGCAATCCAAATAACCGATCACATGTTTCCGAGTTTATATTTCCAGTTTTATTTCGTAGATGCATCCCAATACATTTTACAGAGCCGATGTTATTTTACAATCGTTTGCCTGGAGACAGGAATTGTAATCTATTGTTACTTTCATAGCTATGGTGGGAATCATGCCACTCAACCGAGGTAAGTGTTTTTGTCCTACAGGTACGAAATTAAATGATTCGACGAAAATTGCTTCGAGCGCAAAATCTAATAATACTCTGAAAGACAAATGCTGCATGAATATGGATCGATTTTTACAGAAGAAATGAAATTTTCAAGAGACGTGCTTGTTTCTATATCGCTCCTTAACTTGGTGAAATAATATATTTAGCTTGATAATAAAAGAGGTCAGACGTAAAAATTTAAAATTTTCTTGTCACCCCCCCCCAAATAACAATCTTGCCTCTAATGTAGAAGTTAGAATTTTTCTTTCAAGAACGTCTATGTATGTATGTATGTATGTATGTATGTATGTATGTATGTATGTATGTATGTATGTATGTATGTATGTATGTATGTATGTATGCATGCATGCATGCATGCATGCATGCATGCATGCATGTATGTATGTATGTATGTATGTATGTACGTAAGTACGTATGTATGTTATACTTACCCTTTATGACAATATTGTTATTATTCTTTATAAATGTATTTCATGTGTTTGTGTGCACTGACAAAATTGGCAGTGGTTATTTCACAAAGAAGGCAATTTCTCAATTTTTCGAGCTAAATCAAGTTCTTCGTAAGGAAAAGAAAACGTGTACCTTTATAGAGGGAATCTGCAA